GTATATCCAGACGCAAAAGGCGCCCTTCCTTTTCCACTAATGGAGGAAAACTTTTTCACTAAGAGTGCATCCGGCCATACGATTTTGCGCCATATTGTTTTCTATACTGATCCATAGGCTTAATTGTGTGTTTTATTTGAAAAATAGCAACGATTTCTACCTCCGTCAAGGAATTATGTATTCACCGTTGTCACTGTCTGGGTACAATTGTACTAATTGTACAATTGTGTACAATTTTTTAATTGAGAATTGACAATAAAATACGCGACGACTTGGTAACGAAAATTTGGTTGAAGTTTTTTTAGGTCGTAAGGGGCGTCCCATTGTTTATATTCCCACCATGCATTTCGGTGGAACACTTTTTTTGTGCGGAGAACTCTATCTTGTGTTTCTAGTATCTTTGCATCTCATACATAAGATAAGCCTATACAGTATACCTTCCTTTACATCAGCTAAGCTCTTTTAAGTGAATGTTGACACATACCTGGCTGTCTTCCAAATATACTTGAGAAAGTATTTCTATCAAAATATTCTCATCCAGTGGTTTCCCATCATTCAAAATAGCAAACACAGCTACAGTATGAAAAGAAAAAAACAAGGAATATATAATAATCTCCATCAAAAACAAGACAATGTATAGTAGATTGATATGAAGTATGGGTAGAATGATAAAAGATTTTGTGTAAGAAAGTAAACAAGGAGAGCCTTAAATGTATTTGTGAACCAGTAGAAGAATTTGAAAGAGGATCAATGCAATAGGTATGGGCAAAAAGTACACAGAAGGTCCTCTGTCGAGTACTACCACAAACTAGAGGAGTCCCTTCAAAAGAATGTAAAAGGCATTTGTATTGAATATTGCGTGCTGCGTCAATAGAACGCATGTTCGAGTATCAAACTCTATTTAAATTCGAATAGGGTTTTAACCTTGTTAAAACCCTAAGAAAGAAGGGTAGGGCACAATACAAAGCAAGCCAGATTGTTACCTCGAATCTTTCCATCTGTTGAATTGTCTGAAAGCCATTTTGAAGCAGCACAAAATGTCTGGAATGTTATAGCACCCTCATTTGTTTTAGGAAATTGTTTGAAGATCTGTGAAGTAAAAATATATCAATCAGTTAAGGTTTAAATAATTAACTTCAAAACTGGAGCGATAATATTATTACGGTGTATAAAACTGTTGTTAATAGCCCTAATAAACTTTTTCATATGTATGGACTTCTTTTTAATGTATTCAGTTTATTTATTTTTAAGTCCTCCGTTTCAATTATTTTCAGTTGCATTTTAGAAATTTAACACTGTGTATGAAATACACAATTTTTTTTTAATCACTGCACTTCATTTTTTTTTTTTGGGGGGGGGGGTTGATTAAATATTTAAATTATAAAGTGCTTTCATCACCCAAAATTTAAAACACTAGTTTTATAATATTAATATTATAATCTATTAATTCTATAATTTTAAACACATTCACAAGACGAATAGGATAAAACTACACCATTTTGTGTCATTCGACATGATAAAATGCATGAAATAATTTACCTTGCTGACAAAGGGGTCCGTGACAGTATCAATTGGCAGAGAATGTGCATACAGTACCCCATCCTGGTTGCAGCCAAGCTGCTGAAAACGCTTCCACATGTTCTTCACCTCAATAGTAGTCACTGAGATGCAAATACAGAAGAAAGCAAACAAGGAATTACCATAGAGGAATTTTGGTTACAAATCTACATAAGAACAACAATTGTGTAGTAAAATTGATAGTTTATATTAATACGAAAAATAAGAAATGACAATGGTCATTATTCATGTAAATCACTGAACAACTTCTAAAGATTTACCTAATTAAATTAGGAAATTTAATTTAAAAAATTGAGCTGTTCATTAAACCCCCCCCCCCAATAGATTTGTTAAAAATCCATTTTTTGATTTACAAAAATCTTTAAATTTTCTCACAGAAAGTTTTAAAAGGAGGCAAAAATCTGCTAAAATTAGACCTAGTGAGAAAATATTTTCATTCAAATTTTTTAGAACTTTATTAACTTAAACAAATTAATGAATTAGTTTACCTTTTGAAGGAATTATCAATTTTACATTATTAGATTAATATAATTAGTATATCTCTAACATACACCAGCAATCAGGCAGTAGTTATGATTTAACAATTAACACAACTATACCTTTCCATCATTGACATGAAGACCAATTCAGACAGTGTCGTACGACAGTCTAAAGTCGTTGTGAAAAATATTAAACATGTTTTCTACGTTACTACCCCTGACACAAACCACAGCGTCTGCATTTAACTCACGCAGGTAAGACGCGACAACAAATCGTGTTGGGCTGCGTCGGAGTTGGCCTTTAATCTTATTTCAGTTAAGGCATGTTCAGACTATTAAATTTGATTTGACAAATACATGTGACATGCCTAAATAAGGTCATGATGACATCACATCATGGCCATATATAGGCACATCATCAAAATATGGCCATACAACAGTTTTTTTAATAAATTATCATGAGTAAATTAGTCTACAGGAATTTGTGCTTCGTACAGGTCATTCCATTCATGGAAAAAGCCTTTAACGGTGAAAGCGTACTTGTCATTAGCCATAGGTCATAGGTCAATACATAACACCGGCTATATAAAATTGATTATAAGATTGAAAAAATTGTTAATCGTATTACATAGCGAATATACCATGTCCACGTTTAAATTAATGTTATTTATTAGTTAATAAAAATTACAATATATAATAATATAGTATTTATAATTATAATTAAATTAAAGTATTGTAAATAATAATACGTCTATGTTTCAAATAGTCTTAATATATCTATAGTTGCATATAAATTTAATATAGGCCTACTGTACTGTATAACATATAAAAGTTTTATATTGCAAGCATTTCTAATGTGAAACAAATGATTATAGGTGTAGGTCTAAACTAGATTTTTACTGAAAATTATACAATAACGATAATGGCTCATTATTATACTTCGCGTTTTCATATAAATTTTGGGCACCAATCATCAGAGGTCTAGGGGCCGAGCCTATCATGTTTCATAATTCGACATTATAAATTGGTTGCACTGCATCATACTTACATCCACATGCATCTGCATGCTGGACTATCCAGTCTTCCTTTAAGGGTGATGTCAATTCTGACACAATTCCTCCATTATCTCCAGGGATTGTTGACGCATTCAAGCCCATTGTTTATTCATTTCATATAAAGATCCTAAAAATAACAGAGATTTTACATGAGATACAAAAAAGCTGTTACAATATATTCTTGAATATAAGTTGAGGCTTAAAATAGCAAATGACTGTTGAAAAACAGGGGGTTGTCTTATACATGTAACACATAACACATTTTTTATCTTAACAATGTATTATTGGAAGATTAGCCCTACATTTGGATCTGTTTTTAGCCAGTTAGATGCAGTATCAAGACCTAAATGAGCAACAAAAAGCATGAATTCTGACGATGAAACAGGGGAGGGGTTGTTTTATACAAAAATCGTCCAAAAATCTTCTCAAACTCGGGGGTGGTCTATATACACAATACAGTAACGATGTACAACATTGTTAAAAAGTGATATGCTTATTAAGTAGAGAAAACTAATGTCTTCTATGCAAACTTTAATAAAACGTTATTATAACTACTGACCTCATTACATATATATTTTGTTAAACTGACGTAATGTGTGAAATGCTTTTTTATAATTCCGATATTTATTAGCATTGCACATACAGTTAGTTACTGGTACGGTAGTTTTAATAATATGACACATACAAATAACCCGTATTTTTACGCAGATATTTGGCCTCGGCCTACTGCCTTATTAGAATGTTTTATGTTCAACTTTGCATATAATAAAAAATACTCTGGAATGGTTAATCAAAGGCACAAATTATTGAAAATGTAATAACTTGGTAAAAAGGGGAAAAATCACTCTCCCCTCCTCCCCAGTTTTTAAATATTCGAAAACATGGGGATCTGATAATTTTTTGACAGAGGCTAGTACATAGGAGAATCAGCTGGAAGAGTTTTTTTTTTTTTTTTGGAAAAATTTCCTGGTTTGTTTAGGCCCCCATCCAGGCAGAGGCTGCTCCCCCTGGTGCCTAGAAAAACTAGTCTAAATGTAGGGCTAGTAGTTGGAGGGCAGGCATATGCTACCTTCCTACCAGACTGTAAATTAAGGCCTGTGCGGGAAAAAATCCTCCATGCAAAAATTAGGCCTAGAAATCTGTACCGCATCCGAAAGGGGCGAATTCTGTACAGATTTTGCTGAAAATTTGGCTTTCACCTAATCATAATATAACCAAATACTAAAAAATAGTATTATGACACTACCTCGAAAAGCACTGTAGATGAAATTCGTGCAACTGAACAGACAGTATTCCCCCAGCCCATGCCTGTGTAGAAGAGTGTATTTGAGCCAGCCGCCAGGCCTCCCAGACCTCCCTTTAATGTTTTAGTTCGGCCTCTCTACCCTGTCATCCTTCTGGCCTAGCAGCCTTGGTGGTGCTAATGCACTTTCACACCTAACTTTTAATTCTTAATTTTTTTACCCCACCGTTCTTCTCAAAGTCACAACATATAATTAACAAACATTTTCACCTGATTTAACCACTCACAAAGTACCTTTTTCAACAAATAAGCCCACAAATAAGTAAAGCGAATCTGTGTTCGCTAGCACGGCGAGTGGCTGCCATTTTGCAATCATCAAGAAATTGCCAGAACTTTTAATTCTTGAAGTTTTTACCTCAATGTTCTTCTCACAGTCACAACATATAATTAACAAACATTTCACCTGATTTAACCACTCACAAAGTACCTTTTTCAACAAATAAGCCCACAAATAAGTACAGCGAATCTGTGTTCGCTAGCACGGCGAGTGGCTGCCATCTTGCAATCATTAAGAAATTGCCAAACTTTTAATTCTTAAAGTTTTTACCTCAATCAATGTTCTTCTCACAGTCACAACATATAATTAACAAACATGTTCACATGATTTAAACACTCACAAAGTACCTTTTTCAACAAATGATGTTTCATGGGAAAATTTCAATTAAAATTACGAGACTGACTTTTAATGGTTTTAAAATTTAAAGAATTGACTTGGTTGGACATTCTGGCAATTTCTTACTTGATTGCAAAAAAACATGATATCCTTTTGTTGAAAAAATGTACTTCATGAATAGTTGAATCATGTAAAAATGTTTTATAATTATGTGTTGTGACTGTGAGAAGAAAATTCAGGTAAAAGAAAGTAAGAATTAAAAGTTAGGTGCGAAAGTGCATTAGCGCCGCCTTGGCTAGAGTAGAAGGCTGCCTAGCCTATTATAGAATTACAGACGATCGGGCACACGAGACGATCGGGCCCAGACGATTGGGCCCATTTTTGGACGATCGGGCCCAAGTAGGGTGGACGATCGGGCCCAACTAGTGTGGACGATCGGGCCCACCGATGTAGACTTTCGGGCCCATTTTCTAAAACGGCGGGTAGACGTTCGGGCCCATTTTTCCAAAGACGATCGGGCCCATTTCCTTCCTCCTTCGGCCGCCGATAATTTCGGTCGGGCGAAATTTATATGGGGCGCCATATGGGCATTATCCCACACCCACTATTGTTTGGAGTCGTCATCTATGCCGTGGTGTATTATTTACAGCTAATTCAAGCACAATGCTATCGTTAATATTTTTCTTTTTTTCAGGTAAGAGGGAATAACAGTAACAAAAAAATTAAAAAACATGTTCACATGATTTAAACACTCACAAAGTACCTTTTTCAACAAATGATGCTTCATGGGAAAATTCCAATTAAAATTACGAGACTGACCTTTAATGATTTTAAAATTTAAGAACTGACTTGGACATTCTGGCAATTTCATGATATCATGATATCCTTTTGTTGAAAAAATGTACTTCATGAGTAGTTGAATCATGTAAAAATGTTTTATAATTATGTGTTGTGACTGTGAGAAGAAAATTCAGGTAAAAGAAAGTAAGAATTAAAAGTTAGGTGCGAAGTGCATTAGCGCCGCCTTGGCTAGAGTAGAAGGCTGCCTAGCCTATTATAGGTCTAGCTAGCCTAGCCTAGGCCCTAGGCCTAGGCCTAACCAGGGCCTAGGTAGGCCTTAAACTTGCTAAATAGAGTAAGATAATATAAGCCTGCCACACATTGACATTATTAAATACCACAGTCTAATACTAAATCTACAGAGACATAAACCTACTGGCACTGTTAGTATTTTTTAAGCTTTCTACTTGTTTTATATATTGCAAAAATGTCAAAAAGGGCCTACCGATTTTCAGGTCAACTCCTCCTGACTGAGCTGCTGCGCGTGCGTTAGCGATTCTATTCATATGGAAGGCAATCACTGCCAAAAATATACAATTAAAAACGTGCAACGTGGGTGTGCGTGTGTGTGGGTGTGTGTGGGGTGGGGGTGGGTATGTGTGTGTGTGTGTGTGTGTGTGTGTGTGTGTTCCTAAACAAAAATATTGTTTGAAGGTTTGCATGGCGAAGTAAAATAATAGTAAATTCTTGCGTTACACTACATATCGACGTTTCGATTGAGACGATGAAGCAACTCAATCGAAACGTCGAGATATCCTCAACCAACAACAACAGTTCTTTTCAGCACTATCTAGGTGGTGTACCGTAAGCATTAATATAATATATTAATCCTAAACCAACAGTTAAAAATATGCGCCACTTAAAAATGTGAGCATACATACACACTAAATGCAAAAGGATGAAAAAAAATGAAAGCCTGCCGTGCATTGATCACTCCCAATAGATAGAGTGAAAATTAAGACTTTTACAAATATTTCACTATCACTATTGAATACAATTCACTCATTTTATGAGTGAATCTAATTCCCAGTGGAATTTAAAGTGACCCCTCTTTTAGAGTGCAGTCACTCTTTACATGAAGGACTGTGGTTTAAATCAGTGCCGGGTCGGGGAGGAGGGGAAGGTGGTGCAATAAGGGGTCACCACATTAACTCGGTCAGTCGCCGCGATTAAAATCCCAGGTGGTGTTTGGTGTGGGAGATGACAAAGAATGGAAATTGCTCCTGCCCGGCTCCTGCCATGAGTTTGCGACTGTTTTCTAAACAGCCAAAGGTATTCAAGGCGTCATCATGCCTTGATGCCCTTTTAATTGAAATACTGTCATCTCAAATGGTGCTGAGAGTCGAATTCGGCTCTGAGAACGGATCAGGAACGAATGCTGCCCTCTTTGAAATACAGACGAAATTCACGGAAATCCTCTACTGTTTAGGCTTAATGAAAGCTGTGTATACCTCGTAATCTACTTTAGGCCTATTTGATCAATTTTTATAATAATCAACTACTTGATTCAGATTATGTCCTAATATCGATTGTAAATTCAGTGGAAGAAGAACAGAGTAGCATTCATAAATATTTTGGTATAAAAAAACGATAATAATCGGACGAACTGTAATTTTATTGTATATCTTCAATGGAAGCTGTACTCGTAATCTACCTAGGCCTATATGATCAATTTTGATAATAATCAACGACATGTTTATGTCTATATCGAGATAAATCAATGAGTCACAATATAAAAGTCTAAATCCGTTAACTGGTTTTTTTCAAGGAAATTATGTAAAATCAATGCACCAACATGTTAGTGAGAATTAATAAGGGACATATAAAATCAATAAATTCTGAATGAATTGGAGGCGTATTGACTACCAGAAGAAAGAGTCTAATGAGAACTTTAGAGACGAAATCAGTAAAAAGTGTTGTCTTTGGACGAAAGCGCATGATGATAGACACATTGATCCATTTTACTTAAAGGAGGCTTTTCAAAGTGGATTCAGTTCAATTTAATTCAATGAAAACATAGGAATATTAGTGACAAATCTAATATTCTTAACCATTCCGCAAAGCCACCTGCACCCCCCCCCCCTTGTATTGTTGTTAACGTGTGAGACCCGGAGGCAAACAGTGTAACGTATGTAAATAATTGCGTTTTTGTGGGACATGCACGTATTCGTATGTGTGTGTTGTTAAAACATACATAGGCCTATATAAAATTCAATCAATTATAAAAGATCAAAATATCTAATTATTGATATAAATCATAAGCCGGCCAAACCATTTGTGCTTTGAAATGTTACCAGAAAAAGAAGACGTGCATGCGACTGACTGAGTAAAAATCATTTAAAAAATGCGTTGTTGACAGTAGTGGCGCCAGAGGGGGGGGGGGG